ATTGTAGGTATGGTCAAAAGCTTTCCATCCTACTTCTTTATAGTTAGAAAAGCCACTTTTGAAACTAACGTTGAGCATCAAGTTTCACATTCACAATCTGAAGCATCTCCCAAAGACAACCATCAACAAGAATGATGTTGCAACATTATTTAGGACATCAGCTTCTGCAGCTTATTTAGGTTATCACAATCACCAGAAATATCATGGAGAGAAATAAACTCTCATACATTTTCTGAAGCATAATGTTCAGACTGCAAACCTTCATCAACACATTAGATAAATACACAAATTCTTTCTTTAGTTAGAAAAGATTTTAAGCACAAAGGATTTGACATTAGTCATATGCATAACCACATAAGAGGGATATTTCCTCATGTTCCTTCCTTCACAGTTTCCCTCGGAGGTACAATCAGTAGATAGGGCTACCTCCTCACAAGTGGTAGACCATTTGGTCTGACATCCTTCTTCTAAAATCCACTAGCAACGTGGATTTAAACAGTTATAATTGATATTCATTCCACAAACCACATGTGGCTTGACTTTATACTCCACCATGGTTAGACATTCCAATTTAGAATCTAATGGTGATCAGCAATCCACACATCACGAGCTTCAAGAACAACTTCCTTTTCTAAAGAATTAATCATTGAGATGATGTTCCAACACCAATTCAGACATCAATCTCAATCACCGGATTTTATCATTTACTATGATTCTGGAGACAACATCTATAGTAACCCATACGCATCCCTTTGCACAGAACACGTGAGAGCTATACAGCAGTAGATAAATCATTCTCCAAGGCCAGATCACCGATATATGCAGCAATCCATATTCCACACACCTGAGAGTTAATCTTTCAAAATTAACTTATCTCAAGATGATTCAGATCTATTGCACACAACCCACTAGTCATTTATACTTCCTGATACAATATTGGAGCTTTATCTTTTAGACTTCCATAAATCATCCTACCTTGGATGTCTTTTCCACCACAACAAACACGAGTTCCATGTTCTTACTGACTTGATAATAATCTCAAGTTTGAGTGATCACCCTCCATCCTATTTAAGAGAGCCACCAGCTAGCCATCCAGGTCAGTTACTACTTAAAGTCCCCTTTCTCCAACTCAATCTGACCCTATTTCATTAGAGCAAAGTAGCCACAAGCAAGATCACAAAAATCTGGCTCCTTTTGATCAGAAGAATCTTCCAGATGTCACAGAAGATGTCCTCGACATTTAAGCTTGACCTCCATATATAAAGAACCTGGTTGAGATAGAAAATCTCCACTAGAAGTTAGAGCTCATCCATTGCACTCCTACTTACTTGGATCAGAAATAAATTGACCCAAGAAGTAATCAATAGGTTGATCATCTCTTGACTAGCTCACTCATATAAGACGTGTTTCTTGGATAGAAACTTCTTAGACATACAACCCAGATGTCTCTTCAAATTCAGGAGAAGGTTTCAAACATATGTCATCAACACACATCTGTTTAGGCCCAAAGGATATGTTATGCCATTAATTTGTCCAATTGGGTTCTGCAAACTTTGTTGTTCCAACATCTAGTAGATCATCAGTTCCCTTTCCAATGAACACATTATTGAGCTTGGTTTTGAAGCCATTACTTCTCCCAGAGAATCAGAGCATTCCTTGATCAATTTTCCTTTAGAACTTGTTTCATCAACCATCTTTGGAAGTGCCTTTATGAGTGGGCTTGAGATGAACCTCAAGTATTGTTGGTTGAAGTTATCTTCCAAGTATCACAACATTATATGATAAACCTTCAAAGGAGATCAAATCATAATGCTTTTCCCTTATTGGTATATTCCAAAAACAGACATTTATAAAGCCTCAACTAGAGACATAAGGAACTACCAGAGGTTTTACATCAGATACACATGCAGTAAAATACGAATAAAAAAAACATCTTGGCACCCTTCAGGCACAACTTAAAAACCCTTGCACACAAGCACTACAATCCAGGTGACAACAGAACAACATAGGCTTGAAAATAAATCAAACCCATAAATCACAACCACAACAACTCACCGTCAAGGAAATATGCGCGACAACTTCAGACAGGATCATTACTCACCTTGTCATAAATAATCAATACTCTCCCTCAAGGGACAACACATCAAGCGAGATGTCATAACATTTGATACGAAATCATGCATACATGTATCACACCATCAACAGTAGCAGAAGCACATTATAGCATTAGGAACAACCCAATCTTGATCATCTTCAGGTGGTCTTCCATTGATTATGTCACATGTTTTAGGAGTGTTACCACAGAACTCCCTTGTCATCACCTCAGAATATGTCTTCTTCAAATCATCTATTTGCATAGATCTTTTATTCACAAATCCTCTTTCTTTATCCATTGTACCTGAAAACATCTTCCCAAAATCTCACTCAGAGTCAGAGCAGGATGTCTGCTCTGATATCAATTGCAATTCTGGTAGTTAGATCTCATATGTCCTAAGAGATGTCGAGACACTGGTCTCTGAACAACAATGCAATGAATCATCTAAAACAATAATCAAACTAATGTAGAAAGTAAACAACACGCGGAATTGTTAACCCAGTTCGATGTACAACGACACTTACTCTGGGGGATACCAAGCTAAGAAGGAAATCCACTAAATAGTATCAATTCAAAGCTAAACTCCCTCGTTTACAACTTCTCACTTAATCACTATACGTGCTATATTTTTACCTAAGACTCATTTAGGTATGAGACCCCTCTCACTTCTCTGACAGTCACAAACAGTGACAAGAACACAATTCAAATGAGTTAGAAGATAAACTCCAAAAACACACAATCAATATATACTTAGAAGCTTAAGAGTGATTGACAATCAAGAAGAAGACACACTTTAACAAACAGAATTCACTCTTGCTTAAAATCTTGTGAGTGATTCACAATTACAACTCAACTAACAGTCTAACTAAAGTAACAGGCAATACAAGAGTGGCTCACACAAAAACAATGAACATACGAAGCCCTAAGGATTACTACTTTTACAACTTTGACTCGTATCTTCTCTAGGTATAGAGTCTTCTTTTTATAATATTTTTCTCGGTTGGATTGGACTTCAAAAATACAATAAAGAGACTGCACAAAGTCTGCAAAAACTCTTCCATGAAAATAGGTCTTCAATCATTAGTTTCCTAAAATGTCTCAATATTTAAAAAACTTGAATAACTTGAATACCAACATATATTTCTGATTTTTCAGTCTTGAACGCCATGTACGATTACTAAATATTTTCAAAATATTCAACATTTGTAACAAACTAACAGAATCTAAAAGTCCAGTTGTAACAGATATGATGTCAAATGATTCTGCATAGGACATCTTGTTCAACATATTTTCTCTGCAAGTTAGAACATCCTATTTAACATGTGGCTGCTTAATTTGTTTTACTAAAATTAATGGCAATCATAAAAATAAAGAATTAACAACTAATTACTCTATTTGTCCCAACTGACAACAACTTACAACTAATAGAGCATTAAGATGATATGGGGTATTACATTTTATATTCAGTGTCATCTCGTTTCAACTTCTTAATTCGTGATTGACATGTGTCACTTCTTTTGCATCTCATTGTTATAAATGTTTGTCTTCTATCCGAACCATTGTTAGACCTTCCGATTACAACGTCAAACCCTAATTTCTCAGTCTTCATGTGGACTCACTGTAGCATTTGTTCACGAACAATAAACTTTTGTTTATTTGTAAGTCGTGCACAAACATCTACCTCGAAAACAATCGGTCGACCATCCAATTTAACATCATCGTTCCCTTCATCTGACTTAACACCATGCTTCACTTCGTCTGGTTTAACATTCATCCTCACAATAGTTTTGGGAAACATATTTGAATGCGCCATATATAATACCACCAATAACAGAAAAACAACTTTAAAACTCAAACAGGCAAATCTGGAGATATATCCAGAAGAAATGAACTGATTTCAGAGATGCATATTCAGACTCAGCGTTCATTTTTCAGTACAAAAAACACATTAATGTAAGTAATGAGGGATGAAATGAATGAACTTTACCTGCAATTCTAACTTCTTTTGCTTTCTTTGATATGATAACATATAAGAATGATGTTTTAGTGTTGAAAAATTGATTGAGAATGAAAGAAATTTTTTTAAGGGTTTGAAATGAAGTTTAGTTTCAACATGAAGAAGATCATGCAAGGCGATGTTTTATCCAATTTTCGATTGACATTTTCAGATATGCATCTCCAAAAACATCAATCAATTGTTAATTAAACCATCTCAATTAATAAAAATGTCATAGCTGATTACAGAGAATATTTCAAAAATGCATCTCCAAATACAATAGAGACGCATCTTCAAAATATATTTTGTTCAAAATATAGTGAATCTCAAGAAGATGTAAACTAGTGTGATTTTAGATGCAGCCGAAGATACATCTCTAAACACATAAAAGACATTTTAAGATTTTCAAAAGTGTGGGTGTACTTAAAGGGTGGAAAAACATTTCCCTCATATTAAATAATACTAGTATATCCAAGCTAAGTCCTAATTTCTCAGTGAAAAAATTTGTACTAAATTATAAGTGGTTTTACAATATCATCATTAAATAACTAATAGTATTTTTTCTGATATATGTTAACATTTATTCTCTGTTTTTTTTAGTATACAATAACAATTGCATTTTAATGATATGGTTGCTTAGTAGCTTAGTAGAGTAACTTTTCATATGCAATGCAATACAAGTAACAAAATGCCATAACAAGATTTATCAAGGTTAACAAATTCATAAAAATTCCAACAAAAAAAAAATCACATAACAGTTACTATTAAGAATATAACCTTGACCATACTCATTAGTCCTAAAACAATCTGCATCAAAAACAAATTGACTCTTGCATTATAATAAATAAATAAAAACTATTAGACATACAACACTATTATACCAAATGGAATGGTTATAATCCTCTAATGTCATAATCCAAAGTCATTTTCAGCTCGTTTTAACACAGCTATCACTCTACTGTAAAACTCTGGTTCCTTTTCCTTTATATCATCCAATGTCTGTGACTCATGCTCATCCACCTGAATTGTGTAGACAATAAACTATTACAGATATTATAAAGTAAACATATAATCTACTTATAGTAGTGGAATGCAAAAAAAGGCAAAACATCATATATAATATATGGTTAAATCTATTTTCCATCCATATAAAATTAGTAAAGTTTTGTTTTGATCCCAATATAAACTTCTTTTCTATGATAAGTGCTGTCCCAATTAAATGTACTTATGATTCACATGAAAAAGTAGTCTTTCATTTTAACAATGTGCCACATATAAGCATAGTTAATACAATGAATATAATTCTTAAGACAAAATGAGCTTGGAGTTACTAAATTACCTCTTTGAATTTCAAAAGAATCAAATTTGAAATAGAGGCCGGTTTTGTGCTGTCCCACCTAAACAAAAGAAATGAAAAAGACAGTTAAATTAGATAAACAAAAGAAATGAAAAGAGATTAAGAATGTTATTGTTAGTGCAAGGTGATGAAATTGAGGAAGAAGAGAGAAAAGGAATAAATGCTAAAAGCTGCCACAAATGATTGAAGGAAATTGATTGTATTAAATGTAAACTTATTACACCTATTTATACACAAAAATAGTAAAGATAAGAATGCCACATAGGGCCTAATGAGAATATCCAACAAATGACAAATACTAAATTACACTCCAATACCATCCCGTAATTTAGTAACTTATCAGAAGTTAACAACACCAATTTCATCTCTCAAGCGAAGAAATTGGTCTGTTTTTATCGCCTTTGTCAGAACATCTGCCATCTGCTCCTGAGTGCTATAGTGAGAACTTCTAACACTCCTTTCTGCACTTGACTTCTGAGAAAGTGATATTTCGTCTCAATGTGCTTGCTTCTTCCATGTAGCACTGGATTCTTTGCAAGATTAATTGCAGACTTATTATCAATCATCAGCTTCAGAGGTTCCTCAACTTCAACCTTCAGATCATGCAGCAGATTCAGAAGTCAAACTGCTTGACAAGCAGCTACAGCACTTGCAATGTATTCAGCTTCACATGTTGACAAAGCCACAACAGGCTGTTTCTTGGAACTCCAAGAAATTGGACCTCCCAAAAACTTGAACAAGTACCCAGAAGTACTTCTTCTGTCAACTCTATCTCCACACCAATCAGAATCAGAATAACTCAAGTTCTGATTTGATCTTTCCTCCAGAAGGAAATAACACTCCATATTTCAGAGTTCCTTTTACATACCTCAGAATCCTGACAGCAGCTTGGTAATGAGACCACTTTGGTTTGCTCATGTATCTGCTGACCATTCCAACTGCATAGCAAATATCAAGTCTGGTATTACACAAATACCTCGGAGAATCAACCATCTGTTTGAAGGTTGTAGCATCCACATCCTCGAAGAAGTATGAACTAGAGCTTCTGAAGAGATTTGAGCTAGCAAATTGCAAGGTTGCTATCACACCTGCTGATACGAATCAGAAGTTGGACTCTGATTCTGATGGAGAGGATGCGGATACTACAACCTTCAAACAGATGGTTGATTCTCTGAGGTATTTGTGTAATATCAGGTCTGGTATTACACAAATACCTCAGAGAACCAACCATCTGTTTGAAGGTTGTAGCATCCACATCCTCTCCATCAGAATCAGAGTCCAACTTCTGATTCGTATCAGCAGGTGTGATAGCAACCTTGCAATTTGCTAGCTCAAATCTCTTCAGAAGCTCTAGTTCATACTTCTTCTGATGTAAAATGATTCCTTTCTCAGAGTATATAAATTCCATCCCTAGAAAGAAATTCATTTTTCCAAGATCTGTCATCTCAAACTCATTCATCAGAACTTTCTTGAACTCAGTTGTTTCTTGTTCAGAACTTCATGTGAGTAATATGTCATCAACATACAAACAGACCAGAATCATATTACTTCAGAGTGCTGAACATAAACACCATACTCCATCTCACACTTCTGAAACCCTTGTTCTTTGAAAAGCGAATCAATCTTCAAATTTCAAGCTCTGGGCGCTTGCTTCAGTCCATACAGAGCTTTATTTAACCTGTATACCATCCCTTCCTGATTCTTTTTCATAAATCCAGGAGGTTGTGACACATAAACTTTTTCCTGTAATGGACCGTTCAGAAATGCAGACTTCACATCCAGATGTATCAAAGGCCAATTTTTGTTTGCAGCTAAAGCAATCACCAGTCTGATTGTTTCGTGTCTAGCTACAGGCGCAAACACCTCAAAGTAATCTAGTCCGGGTTTCTGAAGAAAACCTCTGGCCACTAGTCTCGCTTTGTGTTTGCCAATTGATCCATCTGGCTTTAGCTTCTGCTTGAAAACCCATCTGACGCTGATGGCTTTCTTGCCTTTTGGAAGTTCTGTCAGCTTCCAAGTCTTGTTTCTTTCAATAGCCTCAAGTTCTTCTTTCATGGCATTCAGCCATACTTTCTTCTTGAGAGCTTCTTCAATACCCACTGGTTCAGAATCTACTAGCATGGCACATTGAACGATTTCTCCTTCAGAATCTACTTCAGTATCATGCAACATACTGAAGTCTGCAAACCTACTTGGTATTCGTCTGATTTTGTGGCCTCTGATCTTGTTCTGAAGCTTCTCCAGAACTCGGAACAATGCTAGTTTCTGGACTTTGTCCAGAATTATTTCCTTCAGAGTTACCACCTTCAGAGTTACTTTTGGAAACTTGTTCTCCAGACCCCATGTCTTCAGAGTTTTCCCTTCCAGAAGTATAATCACCATCAGATTCTGGATCATCATCAGAATCTGGATCAGAATCAGATCCACTATCAGAATCTCCCCGAGATTCTGACTCATCTTCAGAGTCTTCATCTTCTGACTCTGACTCGTCTTCAGAACTTTCTGAAGGATCTTCAGAAACTAACCCTGGTGTAGGCGCTACACCAGAATCTGATTGAAGCTTGTTCCAATCTCATGTTTCTGACTCTTTCACAATGACGTCTCTGCTGATTTCAACTTTGTTGGTTTCTGGACAATAAAGCTTATATCATCCAGTTTTGCTTCTAGCCTCTGAAACGTGTTTGTAGCATACAGAATCAAACACCTTCAGATGGTTAACACTTTGCTTGTCTCCAGTCCATTTTTCTAAAGGAACATTTTCTTTCAGCTTCTTTGTTGGACACCTATTCAGAACATATGCTGATGTGGCAACAGCTTCTCCCCATAATATGTGAGGTAACTTCTTCTCTTTCAGCATACTTCTGGTCATATCAAGCAAAGTTTTGTTTCTTCTTTCAGCAAGACCGTTGTGCTGAGGAGTATATGGAGCAGTAACCTCATGTTCTATTCCATTCTCTTCACAGAACTTCTAGAACTCTGTAGAGTTATACTCACCTCCACCATTTGTTCTCATAATCTTCAGCTTCTGACCACTCTGCTTCTCAGCCTTCACCTTGAACTTCTGGAACTCAGTAAACACTTCATGCTTGAACTTGATGAGTGTTACCCATGTCATTCTTGTGAACTCATCCACAAAAGACACAAAATATTTGTTTCCTCCAAGTGAAGGTACTGGAAATGGTCCACACACATCAGAATGTACTACTCCCAGAACATGCTTTGCTCTGGGGGCTACTTCTGATGCAAATGGCAATCTGGGTTGCTTGCGTTTCATGCATATCTCACATGACTTCTGAGGCTTCACAATCTTCGAAATGCCATGTACGAGCTTCTTAGAACTTAGATGCCCTAAGCTTCTATAGTTCAAGTGCCCCAACCTCTTGTGCCACAGCTTACTGTCAGCTTCAGCACCTTCTGCACTAAGACACTCCGCTTCAGAAGTTTCTACATTCACCTTGAATGTTCTGTTGCTTCCCTGCTCAGACTTCATAGTCAACTTCTGATTAGAATCATACAACGTCAAGAGGTTGTCCTTCATAACCACTGAAAAACCTTTCTCAATAAGTTGACCCACACTCATCAGATTGCTTTTAATTCCAGGAACATACCAAACATCTTTGATCAGAATGTTTTTTCCATTTTTCACTTTGACTCTAACATTTCCCATACCTTCTGCATTAAGGTACTTATCATCAGCACATCTGATCTTTGTTCTCCTTCTGGAGTCAAAGTCTATCAGCCATTGTTTGTTCCCAGTCAAGTGGTTTGAACAGCCAGTGTCCATATACCACCAATCTTCTGAACAGTTTCCATCAGAATCAGAAGCCATCAATAGCACAGGTTCATCATCAGAATCTCCTCTGGCTATATTTGCTTCTTCTTATTTCCTTCCTCTGTTTCTACAGTCTCTGGCAAAATGGCCAAACTGTTTACAGCAGTAACATTGAACCTTCTTCTTGTCATACCTTTCCTTTCCCTTCTGATATTTCTTTTCATCAGAAGTTGAGGTTTCTGACTTCTGGAATTTATCACCATGTCTATTCTGCTTCTGGTCCTTCTTGACAAAAGAAGCTTTCAGAGCTTGCTCCACTTCCCTCTCAGAAGTTCTTTCAGTCAGACGCAACTCTTGCGCTTCTAGACTGCTTTGCAACTCTTCTATTCTCATGGTTTCCAGATTTTTAGAATGTTCAATTGAAACAACAATGTAATCAAACTGAGGAGTAAGTGACCTCAGAATCTATTCTATGATTACCTGTTCAGAAAGTGTTTCTCCACAAGCCTTCATCTCATTAGTGATCAGAATCATTCTGGAGATGTACTCAGAAACTTTCTCACTGTTCTTCATGCTGAGATTTTCATATTGTTTTCGCAGGGACTGAAGCTTTACCTTCTTTACTTACACGTCACCACCATAACATCTGGTCAGTATATCCCATGCCCCTTTCGACGTCGTCGAATCAACAATCTTCTCAAACACATTTTCATCCACACACTGATGGATAAAGAACAGAGCTTTCTGATCCCTCTTCCTCATAGCTCTTTCTTCTGATTTTTGTTCTTCAGTAGCATCTGCTGCAACTGGAACATAACTTTCAGAAACAAAGTCCAGAACATCCTGAGCACCAAACAGCACACGCATTTGTATCTTCCATCTGTTCCAGTTTTTGCCATCAAAAACTGAAAGTTTAGTGTTCAAACTACTGCCTCCATTCATCTTAAACCTTGCACAAAAACTCAGATCTCAGATTTATCACTCAGTGTTTCCCAAACCCACAGAATCAGTGTGATTCTGTTTCAGATTTTTGTTCAAGATTCAAAAATCAAACACAACTCATTATCACTCGTGTTTCCCAGAATTTCAGAATAAACCAAGAGCTCTAGATACCAATTTGTTAGTGCAAGGTGATGAAATTGAGGAAGAAGAGAGAAAAGGAATAAATGCTAAAAGCTGCCACAAATGATTGAAGGAAATTGATTGTATTAAATGTAAACCTAGTACACCTATTTATACACAAAAATAGTAAAGATAAGAATGCCACATAGGGCCTAATGAGAATATCCAACAAATGACAAATACTAAATTACCATCTAATAGTTATTACGTCAACACATATGCTAACTTAGGTAATATATCATTCGAGTAGAGATAACGGCAGATGAAAAAGTATATTTAAATCAAACTACATTACTAAAAGATGCAAATCTCACTGCAAGCAAAGACAGATTCTACAGCTTTTACTTCTGATTTAAGCTCGGGATATGGCCTACAAAGAGTCTCAAAAATTACAAGAACGGTAATTTTTTTAAACTTGTAGAACTTTAGTACAAAGCAAAGATAAAGAGGTGCAAGCTTTGAGAGCACTTCAATACAAAAGTAAAAAATGAGAAAAATCGTAAAGAACTCAAAGAGGATATACATACAGCTAAAAAATGTTGTTGAAAATGAAAAAATAGCTAAATGTCAATGGAGTCGCAAGCATTAATATTGCTAATGGTTTTTATGGACGATGAATATGATTAGAAGTCAAGTGACCAAGAGAATAGGCAAAAGAAAGAGGCGCGCTTGGATTGAAGAACGTAGTTTCTAAACAAGAATAATAACCCCAATCCTTTATTTTAACCTAACAGTTTTAATTTAATCCTCTCATCACTCATTATAACACACCTATTTTCTTAAAGCATTTAAAAAAAAATTTCGAAAAAACAATGGCGTTAAAAGCCACCTCATACCTCACAAGCATTAATTCATTAATTGATCGCCACATTCCTCGTCCAACGTCTTTCGCGTGCTGCTCTCTAGCACTTCTTCCATGCCATAATTCTTTAGTAATATACATCACTTCTTCAACATCAACCTAGAAAACAGAAACAAAAGTGATGAGCAAAAAGAGTTCAATCACATTATTATTTATTCAAAATAGGATAATTATGTATATATCAATATACCAACAGAATTTTCATATAAAGTTCAGTCAGTCTCTGCACTTTATACAAAGAGACTAAGTTTTTAGGTCAACTGAACCATAGCATGCAGATTTATTACTCTAGTTGCACTTCCCCTGATTTATAAAATCAAACGAATTTCCAGTAGATGAACATGGTTTTGTTTAAAAGATAGGATAGAAATACAGTATAGTATTACATAACATCTGTGTAAAAGTATCAATATAAATCATCCCATGATAGTCCTTTTGTTCCAAATTAATCGACGTTTAAGATCTCTACACAAGTATAAAGAGGAAAAAAAAGGCAGGTGGACATGGCAGTTTTACCACATTAATCCTATTTCTTAGTAAATGCATGTTTGATAATTTCTTTGGTTAATGAGGGCGAAATTGGAAAGATATAATTAGTGATGCATTGGAATCACAAATAGGCACTTAACTTGGAATTATTTACTTTTGCAAAAACGACTATAAATTTGGAACATAGCGCTTAAAAAAATTAAATTCACAGGACCTCTTAGATACACAAAATTCGGGCTACTCGTGATCATTGGGAAAATTGGAGATTAAAGTTAGAATTTTTAAGTTTGGTCATTGCAACTGCAATATAAAGTATAACTAGCATGATATAATCTAGCAAGAATCTGAGTGTCTTCACTCAACAAATAAAAGAAGAATATGAGTGTCTAGTTCGGTATTGAAATTGATATTGTATACGTATGAACATCGGTATGGTATATGTTTTAAAATAACCTGCTTCTTAATCCTCAGTCCTCACAACTACTAGTACATAGAGAATAACTAACTCTTTGACAGCAAAGATACTCAACTAAACCTTCTAAATTTCAAATTATGCTGAAATTTAGTGTCTGCTCGGACAACTTTTGGCGATAATAGAAACGTGAAAATTTAAGCACGGATACTCTAAAATCTATGCCGTCGATACGCTCCGATACACGGCCGATATGTATCGAAGGACTATCCGATTTTTTTTATTTAGAAAATAAAAAATAAAATTCCGATACGACGGCAGCGCGTCGCGATAAACTGGGACACGTCTCTGATACGTTGCAGATATGGCTAGTTAATTTCATGACTATTCATATTTCTAGAACATGAATCAATCTTTCTCATCCTTAATTCTTCTTTTCTCAACTTTAATTGCCTCGTCACTTTCATTTTACTATTACAAGAATCAAACTTTTCCTTTATCTACGTTTTCTCTTAACTTTAACTATCTTTTCTTTTTCTCATAATTCCTTTACCAATTACTATAAAATTTTGCAAACTCAATTGGTTTTTGTTAGAGAATGATTTAACTAGTGTTTAATTTTAATTTTGTATACGTGTATTTTAAACGTAATGTATTCTAGATTTTTCAATGACTGACGTATCTCCGTATCGTATCTGATACCCGTATCGTGTTTGTGCTTCATTGTTACTCTCTATTGTCGACGTTTTGTAAGTGTATCAAAATTGTTGGAAAGAATGTGCTTAATTGTATAAAGCAAGGGGGGTTAACTGCAATTGGATGAACAGATCAGACTAGCAAAATGCAATTGGTCCTAAATTTTAAAAAGAAACTCTTAAAAAGGTCAAAGATATCATATTTAACAAGAAGTTGTAATTAAACAAAAGGTTAATAGAGTAGGCTTCATATACCTGCACTTGCATGGAAGTTCCATACAATGTCTCCTCATGCTCAATAAGGCGTTGATGAAGAATATGGTAATGATCCACGTCAAAATTGACTATAGGTTCTGTTTGAACCTGTAATCCTGCTAAATTCGTCAAAGTATAGGAGGCCATGATTTGTCCAAATATTGCAGGGATGGTGCCTAGAACAGGTATGATTCGGACCCTAAAACCTGGAACTACCTGGCAAAAGGACATAGAAGTGAGAATATGTAACCAGTGTATGTGACTAGCTGTTATGATAACAAATGAGCAATGGCTCGACATAAAAGCAAAAAAATTTACACTGAGGACTTGTTTGATTGTGTTTTTTTTTTTTTTTAAATGCTCGATAAAATAGTTTTGTAAAAATGTTTTGTAAAAAAAGTATTACATATGCGCACAATATTATTGAAACATCGCAAAATAGATAGTGGTATAATCAATGAGTAATAAAAATTAATTAAATCACCTGATAGTCTGAAGGGTTTTCCTCTTCTCCACTTGGAGCCTTAAATGGAAGTAGCTTAATTTTGGGCTTTTCTAAAGAAAACACAACAGTGATACCACCTTCAATGCCATATTCTTTCTTCAACCGGTGTCTTACCTACATTGATATGATTGCAGTAAGAGTTACATGCATCATACTAATATAATAGGCAATTAAGAACAGAGAAAACCATGGTTGACAGCTGAAGTTAATCAGTTCTTAACTAATTCCAGTTAGAATTTGAAGTTAGCTTAGGTTGTTAAGTGTTAGTTAATGAAGATGATGAGCTACACTATGAGTTATTGAGAAAATCAAACTCTAAGCAAAATGACATTCCTAACACTGGCAAAAAACTCCATTGGAGAATCTTCATCCAACAGGCCCAATGGGACCTTTAGTGACCGAAGGAAGTTACAAAAGTCAGTGTATTAATGCCCTGTTTGTATAAACATCTTAAGTAAGAATTTATAGTTAAGTGTTTATCATAAATGCTTATGTAATCTATTTATATAACAAAACATTAAATGAAGTCAAACTGTTTTCATAAGCTATCCTTAATAGCTTGTAGAAATAAGCAGAAAAAGCTTATGGATATGTCATAAGTTGTTTCTATAGGCTCTCCTAAAGAGTCTCACAAAATGCTCATATCAGTAGATAAGCTCAAATAATGCAATCGAAAAAAGACCCAAGGTTGATGAAAAATGTGAGTCAGAGCATGTAGTTAAAAATAGTCAATTCAGCGCAAAATTGTAAAACTAAAGAGCCTACCATACACCTATACATAATGTAATATTGTGTTATTAATATTCATGACTCTAACTTAGTAATAGAGCAGAGACCGGATAAGACCAGAACATCTATCATAGTATCAAAACTAATCTAATAATATGTGCATAATTAAATTTCAACATTCCAATTTAGTCATCCAAGCCAGTGTAGAGGCCGGTGGAACTCTTAGAGTTAGACGAGGAAGGTTCAAAAGGTCTTAGTTTTCAAGACATGACCATGCCACTTTCAAATCATAAGATAGGTCAACAATTTAGCATACAAAAAAAGAGTAAAAAGTTCAAAAAAAAAGATGGAGATATTGAAAAAACACATGGTTCAAATTACTAAAGAGTGAAGGATGGTGGGATTGGGAGAATTAAGTTTCGACTAATAATAGAGAGTATGTTGCTAGCGCTTCCCATTTATAAATAGTAATTACTAATTAGAACATGGTGTAGAAAGGATATATGTTAGTGGCTTTCAGGATAATAAGGATCTTTAGGATATAATCTATAGAAGTAATCAAGAGAAGAGATGTTAAACTGACAAAGCAATTGACACAGAGTTTAAGATCTATAAAATACAATAAAAAAGGCTCATATAAGGAGGATGTTACTGTCTTACCGATCGAGATAATGGATCATTAGTAGACTCTCTTAGATCAGCAATGCGTATTCTTGTTGGATCGGCTCTAGCACCAGCCCCAGTGGCAGATATAACCTTTAAGCCCCTACGTACACATGCGGCAAGAAGTGCCACCTGTTACATAAATCAAATCAAGCAATTGAAAATTTATAGAAATAACTATATATATTTGTGTACAAGTTAATGTTGAACATAAGGAACAAAAGGGAAAAACTAAGGATACCTTTGTATCAATGTTATCAATACAGTCCAGAACATAGTCAGGATGGCCTGAGAGAATTTCTTCTTCAGTTGATGAATCATATAACAACACTTTTGCATCTATTTGGCACTCCGGAAAGATTGATAAGAAATGCTCCTTAAGGCACTGAGCTTTTGAGGTGCCAACATCTGCTCTTGTCGCAACAGCGTGTCGATTTAGTGATGAAAGAGAAACCTTTTCATTTAATAAATAAATAAGTACCTCACATTGTATGGATTGCCAATACAAGTTCTAAGCTAGACTAGTAAAACACCAAAAGTTACAACTACTTTCTCTATTTAACCCTTTGCATTACCAAATCCATCATAATATTGCTCACAAACTTTAGGCTTGAGGTCTTGAGCCTATAATGCCATGCATTACAGTATGTAACAGCAGAGGCTCGTAAATATTGGCATTCCATGTGATTGAAATAATTCTTAATATACTATCCATGATAACTTTTAGTTCAATGATAACTCAAAAGCAAAAGAGTCAAGGAAAAGTTATTTCCAATAAAAACTTCAATTTGTTACTTCTCTAAAACTAGTAGTGATATCAATCTGCATCAGTTATACATTCCAACCCTTATATATAAATATATCATAGGCTTTCAAGCCAAATTGTCTGAAGCTCAAAACTAAATTAAGATGCATTACATTTGTGATTCGCAAAGTAAAATAATTTCCCCAAGGCCCATACGCAGTGGCATCAAAACTCCACCATGACAGTATAGAAGAGTAAAAACTTTCATGTAATAGACATTGGGAGCAAAAAGAAGCTCCAAATAACATAAGAAACATGAGATTTGTGATTCACAATGTAACACAATTTTCCTTGAAAGCAATGGCATCAAAATATTAAACCTTGACAATAATTAAGGAATAAAAGTTAGACACTATCAAGGGGAGAATCAGTTAGAGTAAAAACCTGATCAAAGTCTACAAGAAGAAGCTTGCCAATCCCTGTCCTCAAGAGCATAGAAGCAGCATGACTGCCAACCCCTCCAAGACCAACGACCACAACATACGATGCACTCACCTTTTGTTGGGATTCAAAGCCAAAAAACTGAATATTCCTAGTTACAGCAGGAACAATCCACAGGAAAAAATTTGTTTGTTAAGTAGAAACCCAAGAAAAGATAGATATATCAAGAACAAGAACAGTGCCACTCAAAATATAAAAGCCTTAAAATACAAAACTTAGGGGCGGTTTGTTATAGTTTTCTTCTTTAAAAATCACTTTTTTTTTAAAAAATCACTTTTACAAATTTTTTATTCTGATGTTACAACTTTTGAAAAAACTGAGAATATGACAGGGAAAAAAATCTAAAAATCTCTTCAAAAGCAGTGTTGTCGATGGCGAAGAGCCAAAATACCGCCATACCGGCTGCTTTGCGGCGCCGTTATAGCGGATTATGGTGGAAAAACTTGCAATATCTGCCGATATTTACCATTGCGGCGAGCCCAAAAACCGCCATGAATATCCGCAATAGTGCCACCATGGCGGATATTTGATAAAGTTGTTCAAAAGAGAAATTGTTTTGAGCAATATCTCTATAAGATCATTTTTCATTGAAGTTTTTTTAAAAAGTGTTTTCCATCACAGTAAACTAACACAAAATAGCTTCTTCTTTCCTAGAAAGTCTCTAAATTGAATCAGTGTATTAACATTTCATTAGATATCAGAGATGATGGAACAACGTGCATTGATGAACAAGGTGCCAAGCCACATAGACATAGACTACAATAGTTAGCTCTAAACATAAAGGCTGTGCATATTAATGGATGAATGGGAGCTAAAAGTTGTCTATACAAATAAACGAGCTAGTGAACAAATATAAATGAGATTGCAGGTCCTCAGAAAACATTTTACCAGTTGATGCAACAGCATAAAAACATTTACATTCAGAAATAATAATTTCAGCCATGAACATGTCAAAATGATTGGCAGCAACATGAAATACCTAGACAAATGTTCAGAAACAATCTCATCTTTCAAAAGATCATCACTAACCACCTTATCGCTCTTCTTTCCACTAATAGTGCGTCCCTCAACACCTGCAGTAGGATACACAAAATTCAACGCTTAAAAGGATACAGAAAACAGCAATTTTATTAGCCTTATGAATTGAAAGTATGACATAGGAAAAAGATGCATTAGTCACAAATATAAGATAGAGTTCAGTGCATCATCAATTTGGATTCACTCTACAATACTGCACCTCTAGGCACCAAATATTAGGCCCTGTTTGATTTGAGAAAATATTTTCTGTTTTCGTTTCACGTTTCATTTCTGTTTCCTGTTTTCAAAATTTTAATCAGAAAACAACTCCGGTGCAAATCTTGGAAAAATTGAAAGCAATGTGACAATAATGAAAAGTAAAAAACAGAAAATGAAACCATAAACAGTTTCTGAAACCAAATAGACCCTTAAACATTTACAATTTACAGAATGTCAACTTTAGGGTAGATTAGTTAACATAATCCGTTTTTCATTTTCATGTTCTATTTTCACTCATAGTTAAAAAGTAAAAACGGATACTTTGTTTTCACTTTGATTCCTATTTCAATAATGTGAAGGTGAAAACAGTAAAGAAAATGAAAACAAACAGGTTTTCTGAATCGTGATAAGCCCTAATAACTGCTTGCAATTCATAATAGTGAGTGAGCATGTGTCTGTACAATTTCGACATGCAAATATCTTAATTTTAGATAAAGATCAAGGGCGCCATTCAAAAGTAGAAAATCATAGAATCAAGCAACAGAAACTGACACAGGTAAGTAACAGTTACAAGTACCACTCAATTCAGTAGTGCCATTCTCAGTGTATTTCGGTCGAACACCTCTTCTGCACACAAAAGACCGAAAAACAAAAATTACGAAGAAACAGTTAAGTTACAGAAGGTAGAGTGCCGAAAAGAGAATAACAGAAGAGAAAAACTGACAAACTTTTGAGTTTGGAGAAGTCTGAGAAGAAGGAAGGTTGAGAGAGAGCCTAAAACAGCACCACCTCCAAGTAAAGCCAAACATTTGGTTCTCTCCATGTTTGTTTTTTCTTTAAGGTTTTTGGTTTTCGCTTAACTTTGTACTTGTGTGACATCGGCGGGAGGCTGTCTGGTTCAGTGGTTTGTGTTTAACTTCGGGTGTAAGCATAACGGCAACCGGGTCGGGACTAGGCTCGTGGCAGAAAAACATGTATATGCGGGTATCCACTCAAACCTGCTCCGATATAATCTGCTTAGATTGAAATTGAGTTTGGGTTTAGGTTTTTTTGCGAGAACATTTATTTTTCTATTTTATGTTTTTCTAACTAACCATGTGAAATTTCAAAAATATTTTTTAAAATCGGAAATAATATTTGGTGTTCACTCACACACTTATAATTTATTTATTTTTTTATATTCACTCTATTTTACGATAAAATTTAAATAAAAAATATATATTCGGAAATTCTAAAAAATATACTTTCGGTAAGACACTTTTTAAAAGAGAGTGTATTTGTCTTTGTCTTTGTCACACACTTGAATAGAAGTGTCTTATCGGAAGTGTATTTTCGGGAATTCTCAGAAGTACATTTCAGAAATAAATTTTTATCGTAAAATACGGTGAATCTCAAAAATGAATTAATTTTAAATGTGTGGATGTGTACTGGAAATATATTTCTAGTTTTTTTGAGGTATTTTTGTAATTATATAGGATATTTCGTTTCCTTAGAGGTGGAAAAAGAAATCTTCTTTTTCTGATTACAAAGTATGGGGACGGATCGAATAATCAAGACAATAACATCCACCTGAACTCGTCTCGTTTATTTCATTAAGTACATTATTATTTATTTTTGATAATTTAAAATATTAAATATTTTGATTTTTATATTATTTAAAATATTTGAAATTTATATATGGAGTTTTTTGAAATTAATTTATTTTATTATTTATAATGTAATTTAGTTTTGAAAAAAATAAATATTTTTATTTAAAAAATTGATTTCACCAAATTGACGGTGACAAGTCAGATATATATGAATTTGTTTGGGTCCTGTTTAAGTTTTAATGCTCCATCCTTGTTTGAGTTTAGGGTGGAAAGCAGAAATTATTTAAAATTTTATATTTAGATTTGGAGAAATAATAATCGTCTATGATTCGTCTCATTGTCATGCCTAATTAGGACTCTACTCGAACTCAGTTGAAGCAGGGTGTATAGGACAAAAAATTGTGAGTTAATCACATTGATTACTTCTTCGTGAAATAATTAATTGTTTTCCTACAAGTACGATTGTGTCCAAATTATCAATCATCAGATATTCAAAAATAATTGATGTTAGATTTGATAGAGAATATTACGGTTCGACTCTCACACTTATGATTTGGAGAAAATTAAAACTATTCGATAACATGATTGTTTCCATACTATTGTAGCTGGTGAAAACCTAAGATATCACTTGGTGGTGATAACCTTAAAAAAAAGGTATTGTGTCCAAACTAGAATATCACTTGAACTAATTTAACAAGAGATTTTTTTATCTTTAATTGTGAATTAATTTTATTATAATTCTTTTCTTTATGGATAATAATAGCTTGTCTTGTATACGTACATGTTAAAAATTTATGAATGAAAATTTTGTGTTGAAAAAATAAAAATAAAATTAATTATAAATGTTTAATATAATTAATGTATAATTTCTAAAAATATTATAATTTCATTTCTTAACTTTTCATTTATAGATTTTTAATAAGTATTCTTAGTGCATAAATTAACATTATTCTTTAAAAAAAAACATTACATTTTATTAGTCATTTAGGCGGAGTAGTAAGAATCATGAATTACATTAAAAAAATAAAAATTGAATATCTATTGAGATAATTAAAATCAAATTTAGCAAATAAAGTAATAGTTTGATTCATTTCGTAGTGCACGTAAAAGCTTTTGAAATGAAAGCTGTTGAAATGGGCTATGTAATATCTTAAAAATCTAGATTAATTATTTAATTAACTTAGTATGAATATTGGTGATTATTGGTAAATATATGAATTATAGTGAATTAGTAGATGCGGTGTATTTGTATGAGTTGATAGATTTTATGATGTGATGTGAGGTGATGTAGTGTATTACATGAATGTGTTGTGTATCTTAATTAATGAGCATGTATGATGTATGAAGCATGTGACATCCTATTTTGATGTTGTATTTTAGAAATAATATACTCTGATTTTTATATAATTTACCGACGGGAAAATATGGTGTTACAATTGGTATCAGAGTAGGTCGGTCCGTTCGGTCAAATTGTTGAGTCTGTAATGTGACAGTGGAATATTATCGTTGTTTTGTTCCTTAGTACGCAACATGTGTGTGAAACATTATTTGTACTTTCTTGTTGTAATCACTTGTTTGCAGGAGTGGGGTTGAAACAAGAAGTACATGTTGTCTTCCGAATTCATAAGAAGTACGGATTCAGGATTTAAGTCTAACGATCAGTAGAAGTGTTCTTAAGGGGGAATGATCAGGTACTCGTGTTGTTCACATCTCTAGAAGTGGGGGGGATGTTATGGCTAATGATGTGCCCGTTGTGGGTGAGCCTTGATGTTTTTCCGGGGATAATTACGACTTATTGTTAGACTGAAATTTTGGATTAACTTGATGTTAGCCTTGGAGTGAACTATCTGGAATTAAACTAAGTGATTACGAAGTGTTTTGGCGAGTCGATGCAGATTCTCATGCCTGAAGGTTGTACGGATTCAAGGTTCTTGTTTATTGGTCAAGTAGAGTCGCCTCCGAAGGAAAAAGAGAATTGTTAAAGGTTGCTTCTTAGAGGATACAGAGCAATGTGACGACTGGTAATATACAAGAGGTGTATAATTTCTTGATGATCCCCAAAGGACATTAGCTAAGCAAATAGGGTAGATCTTGGAAGATGAAGCTCAGGTTATTGCGGTGTTTTAGCATATATCGGTTGATTGTGAAGTTGTCAGTATTAAGTTACCATTGTGTATGATGTTGATGTTTTGAATGGTGATATAGTGATGATGTGTTGTAAATTTTGTGTTGGAATCACATATGTGAAATGTTGTTGATGTTGTTGGAGGGTTGTGGATCGCGAGTCAGAGACGGAACTCGAAGATATTAGTAGCCTTGTGAAAAGAGTTGGAATTTTGATGTTTTGGAAACTGAATTTTGAAGAAAGTAATGTGTCTCTCGAGTTATGAGAAGAATGGAGTTTCGGATGTATGTTGGAATGGATTTTATACACAGAAAATGACAAAAAACTGCTTTTGTTCCGCCGGTACCCGGTTACCATATATGGGTACCCGAGTACCCTACGATGAAAATCAGCAGAACTTCAAAATTTTATAACTTGAGTTTCGGACGTCCGATTTGAGTTCCATTTGAAGCACTAGAACGCTAACATGGTGAACTTTGTTTCAAAAATGGTTCTAGCGCCTGGAAGTAATTTATTTGTCATGTAATGATGTTGGATGAGAGGCGAAATTTGATGTTGATCTCGTGCTTGATACCAGACTTGTTCCTATGGCACCATACAAGATGTCAGTTCAAAGGTTGGGAGAATTAGAGAAGTTATTAAAATATGTACGGAGAAATAGATTTGTAAAACCGAATGTATCATTTTGGGAGCTTTGATGTCATTATTTAAGGAAAAAGAAAGTAGTATGAAATTGTATGTGGATTACCAATAACTGATTAAAATAGTGGTTGAGGTTACATATCCACTTCAGATGATTGACGACTAGATAGACCAACTGGTAAGTGAGTATGTTCTAAAATAATTGAATTGGGGTCGGATTATCTTCAGATATGAATGAATAGTGGGGATAGTTAGAGGGAAACCTTTAGAAATCAGTGAAGTTATTTTGAATAATTGAATCAGTTTGTTGTGGTGTTTCTTGAGGGCCTTTTGGTTTAGTCTGAGTCAGAAAAAGGAAATGTTGAATATCGTGACTCGAATTACGGTGTCGAAAGGGAAGGAAATGTATGTTATGATGTCAGGATGTAGATCATGATTTTAAGAGGTGCATTTTCTTGAACATGCTATTTTAAACAAAGATATTTGTGGAATCTATTCAAAGTAAATAAAGGTTTATATCGATGGACTCTGAAATTGGTTATGAGACTAGAACTTTTCAGGAATTAACTGGTTATTATTATAACTTACTTGAGATGAGGTCAAGTGAGATAAGTTGTTAGTGAATGAATTAAGGGAATAAAATGTTTGACATTAGTAAATATGTGAATATATTATATAAGTGCATAGAGATGCAACTTATGCCGATTAAGCATGACTAAAGTGATGGTAGCGTTGGGATTGTGATTAGAATGAGATCCAAATGCGAGACTTAAAGGAAAGAGTAAGGATTCATTGATGTGGTCAAAATCTTCTAACTAGATAAAGACTTATTTTGGAATGAGACGATTTGGATTATACTTGATGTAGTAGTTTTCTTGTATTAGAATATACTTAGCAATTGTGTTGTGTTGCGTGCACATAAGGGAGTCTATGAAATGGAGTTTTGGTGTTTATGTATCATTGATGAGGTAGAAATGAAGGAAATCAAGAAAAACGTTTGTAAGTCTTGGAGAGATTGTTGGACATTATGCTCATGAAACCTTGAGCCCAAGGTGAAAGACACTATTATAATTGGGTAACGATGATTTATGCCACCGTTATAGTTGTTGGCTACCTATTGACAAAATGAGGAACTCGTCACTCTTAATATCTTGTTAAATGTAGACGGGATATTAATGGATGGGATAAACGTGTCTTACTAGCTTGATGGTGTGTAAAGTCATTGACGTTTTATCAAGAGGATAATTATTCACAATTTTGTGTGAACCTAATGCAAAAAGTGGCTATGAAAGAGGGAATTTATTAAGCAGTTTAGAGACTTGAGTTTGTATGCGAGCTAACGTCACATGGTGGAAGGTTGAGGATGTCGAAAAGTGAACAGTTATTTTCTGGTGGTTACTAAGGAGAGTCTAAAGATAGATGTGAAATTTGTAGATCTGATGGTTGGTGGAAATCAAATGAAGACATTGACTTAAGATAGATGATCAGAGTAACGTAGTAGAAGTGTAGTGTGATATAGTTTATTATGCAGGTATGACTTTGGAGTCAAAGATTAAACATTAGAAGTTATGGGATAATGCAAACTATTAGGCATTCCATGATGGAATTGTTAGGTGAAAGGTTACTTATATTATTCATGTTATCACCATGTCAATAGATGTATTGAATTGTATGATCAATTTTTGGGATATAACATGGTGGCACTAAGGTTGTGTTGGTGTTCTTAGGACGACATTGTTGTGTGATGTAATAATATAGATGGTGTTCATGTCATGAGACTCTGGGTCTTTAAGCTATGTTGTCGTATTGTTTCCTATGGCAAGGACTCGAGGGTGAGCATGTTTTTCCTTATGAGGATAAATTAGAGAATTGTTACTTATAGTGACTGAAAAGACCTTGTTGTGTTCCGTTTCAAGCGCGAACAATATTATAAAGTAATAGATCTTGTATCGCAGGGTGATGGGACAAAGAGAAAAATGGATATGTGCATTCATAACTCGGTAGTAATGCATCTTGTTGGACTATTGTATTTGACGATATATAATGTTAGATAGTAGTATTCGAAATATTTCCAAACACGATATTGGAGATGTAGGGTGGGATGCGAGAGTCGTATCCGGAGTTGTTCGCAATAGGTAATTTTCGAGGACGAAAATCTTTTAAGTGGGGGAGAGTTGTAACACCCCAAAAATCTAGATTAATTATTTAATTAATTTAGTATGAATATCGGTAATTATTGGTGAATATATGAATTATCACAAATTAATCGATGTAGTGTATTTGTATGAGTTGATAGATTGTATGATGTGATATGAGGTGATATGGTGTATTTACATGAATTATGTTGTGTATCTTAATTAATGAACATGTATGATGTACGAAGCATGTTGTTGTACCCCAAAATTTGCCCTCCCATTTCATCAATATTCTCTCACCACAAGACCCTTAGAGCTCAAGATCAAGTTAGGGTTTGCTCTACTCAAGACTCCTCCTTGCACTGTTGACCCAAATCAGGGTTTGAGTTTGCACAAAGATGTTTTGACCTAAAATGCCCAAAATGACTTTCATGCTTCATGTTGGACTCACAAGTTTATCCATACCAAGTTTCAAGCCTTGATTCCAATCTTTGCCCAGTCAATTGGACAGTTGACCTAGAAATCATCTGTATTGGGGAAAAAGTCAACTGTGGCCAATTGACAGTCAAACCTCATGAAACAACCGGCTGAAAATCATCAAACAATGAAGTCGCCATCGAACGTCTTTTATCCCACATGTAGGGAAAGGTAAACATCGAGAAAACCCGAGAAGGATGAAATCAAGGTCGAACGACCAAGAGATAAGGGTAAGGGAGTCTGTTACGCGAGGGGAAGGTATTAGCACCCCACACGCCTGTAGTACTCTACGGTATCCATTCTTGTTGTCTATCTTATGGGTGTGTTTAATCTATGCTTACTGTTTATTACTGCTAAAGGAATGCATGCAAAAGAAAGGGGAAAAGAATGTAGGGAAAATAAAATTGTGCTCGTTCGGGCCCTACCCCGATGCCTACGTATCCCTTTTAAGGAATCAGAGCAGCCGTAGTTCGGCTTATATGTTTTTGTTTGTTTGTATTTTTTACTGAACAGTATTAATTTCGCCTTCTGCCGCAACTCGACCTTTGGAGACTTACGCGTCAGCATAGAAGTGAATTAACATGCTCTTCTGAAAAGTTTGGAAAGCAATGTGCCTGGACGCACAAAAAGTTTTGAATTCGTTTGTTTTTGAATGAACGGTAGTAATTTCGCCTTCTGCCGCAACTCGACCTTTGGAGATTTACGCGTCAGCACATAAGTGAATTAGTACGCTCTTTTGAAAAGAGTTTGAAAGGAAGGGCCCGAAGGCAGAAAGAGTTTGTATTGTTTGATATTGTTGCTTATAGATAACAACTAGTTAATCTCAAGGGAGAGATTTTAGCCATTTCTCTACTTATTCATGAAATGAGTCGTTGAGACTTGAATCATACCAAAGCTTAGAACAAGAGAATAATAAGGTCGAGAAGAAACCCGCTTATCATCTCTCAAACTTAGCCAAGACATGGTTCTTGTCAGTAAATTTTTATGCATTTTTTGAAGTTTGAAAAAAAAGAGTTTTAGTTTTAGATGCGTATGCAAAAGGGAAGGAAAATTCAAAGGGGGATTAGCTTATTCCTAAACCTAATGTTATTGTGTATTAGACCTAAAGTTATATGTTTCAAAGGAATTCTACCTGATGTTTGCATGCATAGCTTGCAGTAAAGTCCTGTTTCTCCTGATTTCTAGAAAAGCAATAAAGTACGAGAATGGGGAATAAAATGAGGTTGTGGAGATACCAAGCGAATAAGAGTTCGTAATACAACAAGCAAAGCAGAGAAGCCTGGAAAACTTCGAATAAGATCTGAATCATCATGTGATAGTCCTGCATGAAGATATAAGATTTATACAAGGCAAAAAAATACTCCGCTAACGACTCATGGTACGAGAAATCTCTGTTGAAACCCTTAAACCACTTATTAGACCAAAAAAATTTAATCGAAGATACATAATCACCAAGAATGTGCTAAAGTCCTAATTCTAATCATGTACCAAACATTAATTCAATTAATTCCTAAACCAATAGAAAAATTATGAAAAAAAATATTATCAAGTCAAGAATCAACATATTAATACCCACACAAAATTCCAGCAAAAAACCATGGGAGGAAGTATCAATGTTAATTGCTAGAAAATCAAAGGATTATGATGAAATTAACATGAAACAAGGTGGTGTGTGAGGAATGAAATAGTAGTGTGAATAATTCTGGCCCATGCTGAAAAGCCCATTCTCAATCTCATTAATCACCAAAATTTGTATCATAATTATTGACAATATTGACAATTAAGAAGAAAAAGATTAAAGAAAAAAACAAATAATTAAGAGACCACTACTGAATACGGTGCGTTTTGATCTGTATTTAGGGTTCAAGAATATGACTTTTCATCTTCCTCAAACACAAACTCCTCCCTCCTCTCTTCTCACAATGGCACAAGGTCTTCTCTTCCTTTACTGATTAAACTCTTGCGCCGTACCAAACCTCTGTTCCCCGTGCTATTACCAGCAAATTCTCTTCACCTCTCGCGAAACTCAATGGTGCATCTCCATCTTCTCTTCCCCTTCAAAGCCCAGCGCGACGGCGCTATCTCTCCCGAATCGTTCTCAATATGTCCGTCATACCTCCGCCTCATTATCTTCGTCTTCATTTTGCATTCATTCTGCCATCATAGACAAACATTACGACGCCGTACGCCGCTTCTAGAGGCGATAACTCAGGAAAGCAGCTGATGCAGAGAAACAAAGAGAAGTGGAAGGATTTGTTTTACCTACCGGAAGAAAGCATCGGTGGATCTTGATTTTGGCGATGAAGCAAAATCAAGAGACCCTAATTCAGGTAATAATTCATGTTTCTCTGCACCAAATCTTCTTTTCTCTTATAAGTTTCTGTTATTCTTCTTGTGTTCTGGTTCTGAATTGTGGTGTTGTTGTCGTTCTTGAGGTGATGATGTTGCCTTACGTTAGATGAAACGGAAATGATGAAGCAGAGAGGATTGCAGTGAAGTTCTATGATGCGAGATCAAGAATAATGCAGGTGTTGCGAAGATTGAAGGAAGATGATGGTTGAGGTTGCGGTGGTGGCAGAGAGGGAAGATTGATAAAGGTGATGGAAGGTTTTGGATTGAGGAGGAAGAGAAGGTGCAGAAAGTGCGGAGAGAGTCGAGAGATAGAGAGAAAGATGATGAAAATTGGAAAATGGTGCGTGGGAGGAGTAGAATGAGGGTGAAGAAAAAGCTTTTAGATTTCTCTGTTGGTAATTCTTTAGCCAGATCGAAGAAAAAGAATGAGATTCAAGGTGAGTTTATGAATCCTTCTCTGTGAATTTTTTTGTCAAGTGAATAATGTATCATCACTAAAATGAATCCCCCAAACTGAATGATAATCTCCCTGTTATATAGATTTTCTGCTATATTGTTTAGAAGATGGGATTTTGGTTAGAAACTGTTTAGAGTTTTTTTGTCAGGAATTAGTAACTGTTAGGGTTAGTTATATGGTTAGAATTAGTTATGACAGTTGAATGAGTTAATTAGAAATTGGTTAGGCGGTTAGAAGGTAGAAACTGTTAGAGGAGTTTGTTACTCTTTTAGGAAAATTAGTTTGTTAATTTTGTTTGGCAGTTAGAGAGTTTGTTAATAGTTTGTTAGGAAATTTATGTTAGAATTCTGTTAGAAAGTTTTGGTTAGAAGTTTTTTTAGTTCCCAAGCTGTTGAGCTGAACTTAGTAGAAACTTGCAGAAATTTTCCAGATTTTTTTGTGAGTCTTCTCTTGTATTCAATGAGTGAAGTTTCTCTTTGAGTTTTTTTTGTGTGAATGAATCATGAATCCTAAATCACTTCTCCCTCTCCCCTTTTGTAAAATTCTGTTATGAGTTAGTTATTAGGATCCCTTGGGTGATGTTGAAGTTAGTTTTGGTTCTGATTGTGGATTGTTTTGATGCGATTTTACAGGTTGAGTTCCAAATGGCCAGTAGGACTTGTGTTGAAGCAGTGTGAAGATTATGGTGAAGAGGCAAGGTCAAACTGTGGGATTTCGTGGAAGACATATGAAGATTAGGCTTTGGTGTTGTATAGGATTTTTATAATTTCTTTTGTAACATGATGGTAAAATTGTAATGAAAATGTCTTGAATGCCATCTTGTATTGTAATGTAGCATGGAATTTATTCCCAACAATCCATAACTTTTTTATATTCTGAAATTGATGTAGAAGAAGGATATTGAATATATCTGAATGAGCTTTCTCTATTTCATCAAACAATAACATTGTAAATGGGTTTCTTCTAATAGCATCTGTTAAAATGCCTCCTTCTCCATAACCAACATAACCTGGGGAAGATCCTATCAACTTGCTCACTGAATGGCGTTCCATATATTCACTCATGTCTAACTGTATCATGTTCATTAACAAATACTGCAGAAGTTAAATAAAAATCCAGTATGAGTTCATTGCTATCCCCAATTCCAGATGTGGCATAATATTTTAGCTTGCTCTCCTGAACCATTTTAAGCATGGACTGAACCATTCTAATTTCTCCCCAATAAACTTCTGGTTTTTTTTTATAGAAAGTAAGTAACAGTTGCGTTCTTTTTTCATCTTAAAGGCTTCAATAGAAGCTTTACTTCCGGCTTCGTCTATGAGGTCAATAGCTTTATTAGGTAGATACCTATCAGCTATGTATCTTGTTGATAAATGAACTGCAGCCTTTAAGGCATCTTCCGTATATATGCATTTGTGATGTTCCTCGAATTTATCACGTATACCCATGAGTATGTTAATTGCATCACCCTCACTTGGCTCACTGATCCAAACAGGTTGAAACCGTCATGCCAAAGCCTTATCCTTTTCAAAATGAAGCCTGTAGTAGTCCATAAAGATGTCTGTTCGATGCACTTTCACATACGAATCAGAAAAGAAAGGTGAAAAATTACCAGCAGGTAAATCTCTACGTACTGTAAGCAAAGCCCCGCATCCAGGTCCAGCATTACTATGTCCACCTTCACTGTTAATAGGAGATCTGAAAACATGCACTAGTTGCTGCAGTATATCCATCAAATAATTTACAAAAGATTGCTGCCTAAGAGAATCACATGCTTGAAGCAGCTGTGATGCAAAGTCGTTCTTCTCTTGGTCATCAACTGAAGTCTTGGAAGTGGATGAAGAATGTTAGATTACATTTTTATCATGAACATCAGTAGTTCCGCTGTGTCTTGGCATGGAACCATCACTACCAGGCTGATGCCAATTTCTAAGCATCAATGTGAAAAACATGAAGACCAGGATTGCAACTTCCCCAATTGAAGACCGGTTTCTGGCTACAAATGGTTTGTTGAGATTAATCTCATCCAAAAACCATTTGATTAGTTTCTCTAAATCTAAACTGTTGGGCTTTGAGCTGTCTATGAAAGGTCCACCCACAGCAGATGAGAGCCTGTAAAAAAGCTGCATAACAGGAATTGCTCGGACTCCAGAGGTTGAATCCATCCATCCTTTCAATTGTTCAAGAAATTCAGAAAGTAGCAAGGAATTAATTGCCCGTTTTGAAGCAGAGATTGAGACTGGATCAGTCAATGCAGCAGCAAACTCTCCAGAATCATTGGGCTCCAAGACATGAATTGAGGGAGAAGAACTCTGCATGTTGCTATCAGCCGGTACAGGCAGTGAGTCACTAACATCATCAGGTGTGAAGTGAAATTCATTGCCATCTCCCACTGAGTCCACTTCAATTGGAATTGCTGTCATAGGATGATCTCTAGAGTGTGGTGGAGGAAGTCGGTCTGTATCTAGTACTTCAAAGCAAGCCTCACACAAATCAAAATCAGGACAAATAGTGCAATGCCACCTTCGCCTGAGTATAGGTACAGTAGAACAACCATCACAACAATATTGAACAGATGAAGTGATAGTGTCTTCTTCAACCATGACTTGGTTATTTCTAGCACTTGTGTCAGCTGAGCCTGAAACTGGAACTACACTCTCAACACCATCATCTGGAGCTAACAATGTCTGCTTTGGAAAAGGGACCTGGAGCAATCTCGAAGATATGGCCAAACTGCTAGCAGTCTGAACAGCTTCATCGGACGAAAAAAGAAGCTTCTTGAGTAATTCAACAGCAGGTGCTACACTGTGAACTCCTGAATCTTTTCCATGCAGAGTCAAGCATTCAGCATAACAATAAATAAGTTCAACTGCAGACATAACAATGTTGTTCATGGTTTGTGTGTCTGGCTGCTCAAAGTCCAAAATTCCCCATAAGACTTGCATAAGTGCATCCACCACCTCTGAGCCATTTGTCTCCAGAAATGTTGCTATTTTTATTTCTTTCAGAACTGTCATAAGCTTACTTAGTCCTTAAGAAAAGCAAGAAACTTGAAACCAATCCAACAATTGAAATGCAACCCCACCATATAAATGTCTGCATATAGCATTTCCTTCCCATGCACAAAGACATCTCGCGCAGCCATATCGATTGTCCTGAACTTGTGGCCTTAGAGTCATAAATCAATGCTGCAAGAAGGCCATAAAGACATGAACCTAAAGGAATGTTTGTGATGAGGATGTTGTGGTTCACACCAACACTGTTTGGACCAAATAGCTCCGATATTATAGATACTGCCGCAGAAAACACAAAGCCATAACTTAATCCAATTAAGCTTGTGCTTAATTGTAACGCCGTTTTAGTACCGGATATGGCTAGTAAAATAAATGCAATTGGTGTTAGTACCAAGGCTGCTGCAAACCATCCAGTTCTTGCAATGTGTGTCTTGCTGCTAAATAAGTCGGGTGCGGCTGCAAGAAGCCGACCAAAAAAGGAGCACGTGGAATAAAGTGTCACAAGAGAACTTGTCTCAGAGCTATATCCAAGTGATTGAGAAATTTGTCCCCAGTTATTACTATAAACCAATCCAATTATTCCTCCACAGAAATAAGCAATGTAATATAACCAAAAGTCCCACCTACGAATCAACATCTTAGTTGTATGTTCTTCGCCAAGCATTGTAATCTTTTCCTTCTCCAACACATTCGCAAAACAATAACTCTTCTCAATCATCAAGCTTTGTACACTTTCATTACTCCTTACATCATTATCCTCCTTATAAATGAGTTCTTTGTGAAGTTCGTTTTCATCGTTATTGTCAACAAGAGAGAAAATTGTAGGGAGAGTACAACAAGACAATTGTTTCAAATTCACAATGCTTGGCAAGAAAATGCATTGCTAAGAGAAAAAATCGCGCCGACAAGGATAACACGGGCGACGGTCAGGGAGGACGATGAGAGGGAATATAGGAAGAGAAGGTAAAGTCCTGTGACAAGTGCAAGGATGTTGAGGCAAAGAAAAACTATGGACTCACGGAGGTTAAGTGAGTTGGTGGAATGTTGTTGAGGTTGTGGTTGTTGTTGGAGAACTGGAATGAGTACTAATGCTGAAATGAGGAGAGGAACAGTGGCATTGAGTAAGAGATAGAGAGTGTCATTGTTTGAGTTTATTGCATTGGTAATGACAGTGTAGAAAGCTGCACTTACACCATTGAAACTGATGCTTAAAGATAATGCAAGTGAACGGTTAGTTGTGAAATTTTTTTATGCATAATACATAGCAGATTGTGTTGAACCAGCAAATGCTACATCCTGCAATCAAGCATAGGAAAAATACCAGAAAGTAAGGCAAAGCAATCAATCTCTGAATAACAAGCCACTGGAAGCCATAACCAAGAAGCCCCAAGAAAGCAGACATGAACATAACAACCCACAAAGGAAAATACATGAGTAAAAAACCAGAACACCACCCAAAAGCTTTCCCCATATCAGATGCCACTGAAAGACAATTCAGCTGAAGCTGAGTTATCTCAAGAACTGATTTCAGCTCAGATGAATAGGATGAGAAATCAAAGTTTGTCCCAGTGAATGCTTGTATCCAAACAGTTGCTATTAGCACCACCCACTTTCCTGATTCCACAATCATTTTCACCTTCAAAACTCCAATTCCCTCTTCCCACCACCAAGAAAACAGGAGATGTGTTATATTTCTTTTTTTGTTTTCTCTCCTCTCTCCAAATTAAAATGCCTAACACAAGACGAAATAGCAGTTGTGATTGTAACTGAATCCGGCCCATATCTTCTCATCATGCCAAAGTATCTCAGAGCTTCTTCAAATTTCCCGCTTTGATGATAACAAGAAATCACCGTATTCCAGCACGCCATATCCTTATTAGGCATTTCATCAAACAATTGTATAGCATATTCAAACGAATTGCATTTAGCATACATACTCACACGAGAACTTCCAACTACAATATCCACTATTAAATCAATTTTTTTTCTTCAAACAAGTATGTACCATTTGATTATCCTCTAAGCACTTCACTTCATGACTCGGTGAACGAATTCCAACCAACTTGCATATTCAATGAACTAGTCCTGAACTCAAGACCTGTCATAACATTCGATCGAATCAACAATATTCATGCATGAGCTTAGTCCCGGCAACAACCTCTCCATATTGCAATTGCCCAAAATCAAAGCCTTTATTCATGTTTGTCTATATCTTATATTGTGCTTCAATTTTTGTAATTCAAGTCGCAAACATGTGTACTTGAAAATGTAAGGCTAAAATCCTTAAGAAATTTCCTTGAAGATGATACTTCCTGTCGCACAATATAAGGCTCTCTGAGAAAGTCCCTTGATAAACAAACCCTAATCTCATGATCTTTGACGAAAAAAACCGATTGGACCCCAATTACCGAAAACTTGGCTTTAATCGCGTATAGGAAAAAAAACCATGATAGCTTCGTGTCTTGATGAAGAAAGAAATTCTCAACTATCCAGGTCACGACCCTAATTCCACTACTAACTACCTGAATAAGAAACCAGTCTTAATTGGATACGAACGCCTTAACCGTTGCGAAACCCTAATATCGCACAACCACTGAACTTTGAACCTCAAGAGCTTTATTGAATGCAGTGCATGCTATGTTAGTGACCTAATGTAATATATACAGATGAATGCAAGAGTCTAAGCCAACATAAGAAATTAGGAGGGCAAATTTTGGGGTGCAACAGACCCAAATTAGGGTTTGAGTTTGCACAAAGATGTTTTGACCTAAAATGCCCAAAATGACTTTCACGCTTCATGTTGGACTCACAAGTTTATCCATACCAAGTTTCAAGCCTTGATTCCAATCTTTGCCCAGTCAATTGGACAGTTGACCTAGAAATCAGCTGTATTGGGGAAAAAGTCAACTGTGGCCAATTGACAGTCAAACCTCATGAAATTTGACCCACATCAACATTATGAACTCATATGGACCATTTGATCAAGTTTGGATCACAATTCCACAAGAAATTTGATCAGATCACCAAAAGGGCAAAATGGTCATTTTTAGGGTTTTGACTGCACAAAGGCGATTTTTGACTGTTTGACCTGGCCAATGGCAAACCAAGCTCACATATGGACTCAAGGACTCAATGACATGGTCTTGACACATTCAACAAGTTCAAAAGATCCCAAATGCACAAGATTGACAGATGAATTTTCCAATCAACTGAGCAAAATTTGACTGTATACTGAAAAGTCAAACTTTGACTTTTTGGTCAAAATCAAGTGCCAAGATTCATTTTTCATCAATACATGCCAAATTATGAAACTTGTTCATCAAGAAATCAAAAATTACAAATTAGGGTTTGAAATGAAGAAATTTCATAACTTAGAAATTTTCTAAGTTATGAAATTTCCTAATTTTTTCCTAACTTTGTCCCATTTTTTCATCAAGATACATTTGGATTCAAACAAAACTCAAAACATGAAAGTTATAGTCCATTGAAAAATCTACAACTTTGATTCACAAAGTTTCCTCAAAAGAAGCTTGTAGCTCAAGTTATGATTTTTGGAACTAGGGTGCAAAACATTCTTAACTTAGAAATTTTTTGACCTATTCTAGGCAGGATTTTTGCCCAACTTCATGGCCACTTTTCACATGCTTCCACTTGGAATTTAAACTTGCATTACAAAGATGGATTGTAGTACACATTCCAAGCTTTCCAAATTTTCCAAGAACTTCTCAAACACCCTTGTGGTTAGGGAGAATCGAATTTGTGAAGATGGGCAAAAGTCACTTTGTTCATGGCCATTTTCATGTTCATAACACTTTGCATTTTTCAAGTCAGCTTGCACAAGCTAGGTTACAGGCCTCTAATCCCATTTGCACTCAATAATTCAATGCTAAACCTTTGTGCCAAGATGTTATTTTGCCCATTTGGTCATTACATGGAAGTTTAATCCATAATTAGAAAAAGTAACTTAGCCATTTTTGAAAAGGTGCACTTTATGTCAAAACACAAATCAAAGAAGTACAATGCAGATCTTTTAGGCACAAGTTTATGGACTAATCCCACTGATCAAGGATAGAAAATGCAGCATGCTTGAGGGACATGCCTTGGCCTATAACCCAACTTGACCACTTTAGCTTAGATAAGAAGAAAAACTTGCATATTGAACATCATCTCTCATTCCTGTAACAACTAGTCAAAGCAAAGTTTGTAAACATTTTCCATACATCATAACAGACCTAAGGCACGACCTAACCACCTTCAATACCTCCTCATTCACAGAAATACCATCCTACTGCAAAAAACAGAGTCCCTTCTGCAACTGGACTTCTATAAACCTTTCCACTCGTGCACTTTGGCCAAAGGGAGTTCAAACATGTTCCATATCACCCACTGAAGCTATCCCAAGCATTGAACACAGACTGTAACATCCCTAACATCATTTGCCATTTTCAGTTTTCAACTTTGCAGGTGAACTTCCATAGCTCGATTCAGCTAGTTTCAGAGCAAGCTAGAGGTTGGAGAAGCATCCCTGAACTTCAAGCAAGTTGTACAAGTCCTCACATTGCATTGAAAGTACCTCCATTATTGTACACGATTCAAGCTGAACAGGTAAAAGTTTGAACTTCTATCTCTCTATCCAGGCATATCTAGGCTTAGGTTTGTGAAGAAGTTATGTCCTACTCATGGCCCTGAAGCTACCCATATCCTCACTTTCCATTTATTTTGTATGTGCTGAGAGAATTTAAGACCTGAACATTGAAAAAAAACTTAGGTCAGGAATTGGGGATGAAGAAATTCTCCCTCGTTTCTTAGAGTTAAGTCAAGTTTTTTATATGTCTGGATTCGTCTCTTGATGCTCTACATTTTTGGTGTTATGAGTTTTGCTTGAAAGTCCAGGAATCAAGAGTTAGGAAACGCGCGTTTTCTTTGTTTCAAAGTTGCTGGAGGTTGAAGACAACTCCTTTTGGGCTGGGCTTGGTTCATTTTTTAGTTTGCACCGCTTTATTTCACATACACCCCCTTGGCCCATTATGTGATATATTTGTCATTTTTGATTTTTTTTCTTTTTGATTCTGATTTTATATTTTTATTCAAGTATGAAAAAACACTAAAAATATTTTTCTCACGTTTTTTGCATTTTATTTGATATTTATTTGTTTCATTTAGTTACATATGTAAATAAATATATATATACTCTTATTTAAAATACTAAAAATAATACAAATACATTTTATTTTCTAATTTTATTTTATTTTATCTTTTGAAAACATTTTCTAAAAAATATACTTTTTTTTTGTAAATAATAAATATTTTTATTTTTTGTATATATTTAATATATTTAATATATAATATAAATACTTATACATTTAGAATATTTAGGATAAAAAACATAAAAATAATACATATTTTCTTTTATTAAATATTTAACCTCAAAAATTACTTTTTTACAATATACTTCCTTTTTATTCATTGTTTGTGTATAATTAATAAATATTGTATATAATACATAATAAATACTTTTATTTAGCAAATTAGGGTTTTGCCCTAAAAACACAAAATATCCAAAAATTGATTCTTTTATTTTTTGTTTATATTTCACATAAAAAAAATACTTTCCCATACATATAAAAACCATTTTTGTGCATAAATACATTTTTGCATATTTATTTACTTAATTATTGTACAATTAATCTTTGTATATTCAATTTGGATGTAATAGCTTAGATTTTAATTTCTTGCTAAATATCCCCCATTTGAACATTTGTACCCCCCATCCCATAATTATGTTGTAATAATTTAGGACTTTAATTTCTGCACTTTAAAGCTTTCTAAATATGCCATGATAGACTTAGGGTTTGTATGCAAAAAATCAAAATACCAAAATACCAAATAGCTTGACCTAATTCAAAGACAAAAAAGCATGAAAATGGACAACACCAATCACACTTGCACCCCTAGGATTACTCCACTTGTTGCCTTCAATAAATGGGCCATGTTGCATGTTGGGTGTCTTTGGCAAAACAAAACAAATCAAATGATCATAGTCCCTCGATGACGCTTTCGAAAGTTGCCTAAAAATGATCAAGTCCCTTAAGGAAAATTGCCAAAGACACTTGGCACCATTGCAATCATGGTCTAAACGATGACCCGCGCCTGTCCCGTTAACATCCTAACACAAGATTATCCACCAAATACAATGGTGGAACAAAATTGTTAAAAGGGTTAAAACATAGGAAAAACCTTTGAGTAAATTTAGGGGTAGACAACTCTTGGTTACTTGAATCAACTTGCAAAACACACTTGCCTACTTTCAAAACACACATCACAACACACTTTCAAAACAACTTTCAAAAACATTGAAAACTTTTCAAAAGACAAGTACACCTTTGTATACATTTACACATGAATCATTACAAAGTTGCCACCACAATGGCCTCTTTTCAAAACATTTTCAAACCCACACACAAAGCACCATTTCAAACAATTGAAAATCAAAGGCAAGTGATCTAAGCAAGTAACTAAGAGCCCATGGATAACCATGGATAGAAAGGGTGCTAATACCTTCCCTTTCTATAATCTACTCCCCGAACCCAAGAAAACATCTCAAAGGTTTTTGCTGTGCTTTTTAACCTT